TATTAAAAACAAGAACAACATAATATGATATCTGCTGTGTTATAAATAGTTACTGACATTGCAGAACTACAAATATGGCGTATAGTGTAGACAATATTGAATACCTATTAAATTATAATTTATGAAATGCATATAAATTTAATTTAAGTTATATTTTTCTAACAATGAATCTAAACACTATGATATACCTAATATGATTTTGGCCAAYAATTCCTAAAGAGTTTCTCTCACTTTCAGTATATATTTTCATGCTTGTGACATCTTGACTGGCAGTGTTTATATGACATTTATATTAATCTTGATTTCCAGGACATTCAGACATACTTAATCTCCAATATTTGTCCCTTCCTTTAATATTGCAGTCATTATAAATAATACCTGTATTACAGGTTTAGTGTTGCTATAATTAAAACTTTTATAATTTCATACTCAGGATTTAGAAATTTAATATAGTTTAMATCTTAATTTTTTATTTTAAGTTTTCAGTTAAAATTGTTCAAACAATTTGTTAAACTAAACTAAGATGATCCTTCTTTAGAAGGGGAAACTGATGTCTATAGTAGTTTCTATTGTGGTAGCTTCATAGAAAAGAATTTCACAGTAAGGCTAGATCAATTTTATAGTTTTCTGTCCATTTTTGTTCTCTCTACAATGAACTGACAAACTGCTTATAATGGGATTAAAATCAATTTAATAGAAATATAAAGAATATAAATAAGTTAGTTACAGATAATTATTTAATTTGCTATATATTTAAGTCATGTGAGGTAAAATGAGGACATTTTGCTATCATAGGTGAATAATATAATATGGTTATCAGAACTTTCAGAATTAATAATTTGCCTATTAATTATTCATATAAATTTACTGCCTATAAGATTATACTATTAACAAGTAACACAGTAATAACTAAATATTTTATATTTTTCATGGATTTTATACACAAATATGTTAGTATTTAAATTATACCTATCATTGTTTTAGTATCTACTTACAAAAAATATTTTATTGATGGTCTATTGAACTCTAAACGCTTTATCTTATCTTATTTGTGTACTTTGTTCAATTTAAAACGTCAGAGATTGATTTCTGTTATAAACAGACAACAGTGTGTAGTCTGGTAGTCATTAACTATGTGCTGTTGGGAAAAGGTTTTACATATTTTTTATAGGTATCTGTTGACCGAATAAATTAATATTAGTATTATATTTAAAATAAAATATTTATGTTTCATGATAGTTTACAAACTGTTACAGGTTTAAAGAGTTCATAAAAAATAAATTACAAGGGTATTTCAATAAAAATGTTGAGCGGTAATAAAATACTGAGGAGATATGTCATCTTCCGTAGTTGTCAATGTTTATCACATTTTTCCGAWGTCTCAAATGGATCTGTACTGGAGTCCAGGATTGATGTCAATTCAAAAGAATATCAGGTAGCTTATAATTTTATATAGGTATTCATAGATTTACGATTTTTGACATTGTTACAATAGTTAAAGAGCAAACAAATTATGAGAACTATGTCTAGTCATATTAGATCCATATAAGAGTATACTATGATATTAATTGGTACTTATATAATAATACTTATAAGAATTGACTTAAATTCAAAAACTTTAAACATGCAATTTTATATGTTCAGGAATCATATATTTCCAATTGTAACCTATTTTTGATCAGCAATTTTAGTCTGGTATCTTGATTGTAGGAAAATCGAACTGCAATGGAAATTTTGGTGCACAATTTAAAAAAGGCTGTAACCAATTCAGTATCTGGTGGTGATTCAAAAGATAAGTTAAGACACACGTCCAAAGGAAAACTACTAGTGCGTGATCGTATAGATTATCTTTTAGATCCAGGTTCGCCATTTTTAGAATTGTCACAATTGGCTGGACATGATCTTTATAAAGAAACGGTTCCATGTGGTGGAATAGTTACGGGGATTGGACGTATTTCCAAGTAACAGTTTTTTTTAAATATAAAGGAATTTAATTCATCATTAACAAGTCCTTTGTTGATAGAAAGGAATGYATGATCATTGCCAATGATGCTACAGTTAAAGGTGGGTCTTACTTTCCTATCACAGTAAAAAAACATTTAAGAGCTCAAGAAATAGCCAGTGAAAATAATTTACCTTGTGTTTATTTGGTGGACTCTGGTGGTGGTTACTTAAAAAAACAGGCAGACATTTTTCCTGATAGAGAACATTTTGGGAGAATATTTTTTAATGAAGCCATCATGTCTTCAAAAAATATAACACAAGTTAGATATTTAAATTATAGCTGTATATTAGCATTTTATAATCACAAGAATTTTTCAGATAGCTGTAGTGATGGGAAGTTGTACRGCAGGTGCTGCTTATTTACCTGCCATGGCTGATGAAAGTGTAATTGTCAAAAAGACTGGAACAATTTTTCTTGCTGGCCCTCCTTTGGTAAAAGCTGCAACTGGGGAAATAGTATCTTCAGAAGATCTGGGTGGTGCCAAACTTCACTGCTCGTAAGAATATTGTACATAAACAAAATTAATAATATAATAGTGTTACTTCAAAGTCCAAGTACACTTGCAGTACATAAAATATTGTTGTAGTGGTATTAGAGATTGATGAATACCTAATCTAGATTCAATTGAATTTTTTGTATAGATATCTACAAACCATAAATAATATGGTACCTAGTTCACTAATACATCATTGTATCAATTGTAAACTGTTGATATTATTATTATGTTTAATTACTTTTTAATTTTTTTTTATAATATATTATATTAATAATTGTTTCATAATACTATAATAGTGTTTCTGGAGTTTCTGATCATTACGCTAATGACGATTATCATGCACTTCATATTACCAAAACGATTATTGCAAATTTAAATAATAATAATAACAAACAAGATATAAAAAGTGATCTCAGTGTGCCAGAGCCACCATTATATCCTGAAGAAGAATTATATGGAATTGTTGGAAGTAATTTAAAAAAGAACTATGATGTCAGAGARGTAATTATCATTTGCATTTTGTTCAAAATTTTTTTTCAATGATCTCATAATTAAATTATTATATTTTTTAGGTCATTTCAAGAATAGTGGATGGATCTGTGTTTTCTGAATTTAAAAAAAATTATGGAGAAACATTGGTAACTGGATTTGCTAAACTATGTGGTTACCCTATTGGCATAATTGGTAATAATGGGGTGTTATTTTCCGAGTCTGCGTTAAAGGTATGAAAATTATGTTCATTTTTTAATTTATTTTTGCATACAACAATTATTTTATATCTGTCTACCTATGGCCTATTGAACATAAATTATAATTTTCTGAATTTGAGGATACCTCTCTCAASGCCCTTAAAATATAAACTTGAATCATAATTCATAATTATATTCTTATTAAATAATAATATTGATTCAAAATTAAATTTCTCTTAGGGTACACATTTTATTGAACTATGTTGTCAGCGAAACATTCCATTGCTATTTTTACAAAACATTACTGGTATGTTGAATTTTATTTTGAAATAAATGTTTTATGTACAAAGTACAACTTACCTTACTATTACTAATATTAATAAGTTTATTGACAACCTAATAAATGTTAACCTAACCTTAAATGATTTRTCAGGTTTTATGGTTGGAAAAGATGCTGAAGCCGGCGGTATCGCTAAAAATGGTGCTAAAATGGTTACAGCAGTATCCTGTGCATCTGTTCCTAAAATTACCGTAGTGATTGGTGGATCTTATGGAGCTGGAAATTATGGAATGTGCGGAAGAGCATATGGGTAGGTAATACAACAATTTCTGGTTTTTAATTTAAATTGTGATGATTAATTAGAAAATATTGATTGGGTTAAAATTAATCAATATTTTTATTTTGTGCTTTGATGTAGACCAAGATTTATGTATATGTGGCCGAATTCTCGAATAAGTATAATGGGAGGC